CTCTCTCCCCCCCCCCTTTTATTTCCTTCTTTCTCTCTCTCTACAACTTTTTAGTCTGAACCCATCTGGAGGAATAACCCAAAATAAGGTAGACAAAATTTGGTGAGCAATAATTGGAAATAGTAAAAGAAATTAAGAAACAGAACCGCGAAGAAGAAGAAGAAGAAGAAGAAGAAGAAGAAGAAGAAGAAAAACAAGGAGTGTCCTGTTACGATAAAACATTTCAGAAACACCATAAAACAGAGGCAAAGCGAGTGAAATTCAAATGTTTTAAAACAGAGAGAGAGAGAGAGAGAATTTCTGGAAAATGAGGGAATTGGAAGTACTATATAATCAGTTGCAAGGATTTCTGGAAAATGCTTTTGGGGCAGAGTAGAGAGAGAGGGAGCTCTTCTTTTGGTGTCATTAACCCCCAAACCAAAACCAAAACCAAAACCAAAACCAAACCCAAAACCAAACCCAAAACCAAAAAAAAATCTTAAAAAAAATATTCTTGAATGTAAAGGAAGAAGCTTTTTTAAACCAGTTTTGTCTCAATATATTAGAGATAATGGAGAGAGAAAGAGAAGGGGTCAGATACTGCCTTTTTTAGAGAGAGAATTTTTTATTTTTATTTTTTTTTAGGGACTCTGGAATTGGATTGACTGTCTTTCTAGTTTCCTTTTAATATTTTTCTAAAACACCCTAATAAATAATAATTACAACCTAATCTCACGCGCTTCCTTTTTATTTTTGGTTTGGGTTTCTTTTGGAGTCAGTGTGCGTGTTTTACACGCTCTGGATTATTTTATTTCATTTTATTTTTTGGGTCTTCAGCTTTTTCCCACGCAATCGAAGCATTGGCAATGCACGGGTTTTCGCCTTTTCATACTTAGCTCTGTCTTTTTAACTTCCTCTTTCTCTCTCTCTTAATCATATTATTATCTCTTACTAACTTTTGCATTACCCAATTTTCTTACCATTAATTCTATACCTTCTTCCTCTCTCTCTCTCTCTCTCATTTGACTTGACCCAACCCGACCCGATCCGACCATCACACACCGTATGATCCGTAGTTTTATAAAATTAGATTACGGGTCCAAAAATATTATCAATCGAGTTTCTGTTAAAGTTGTTATCACATGTATGCTGTGTTAGTAAGGGTTTTGATATTTGGATTTGATTGGTAGAAATATGTCATTTTCTTTTTGTGTGATTGTGTCGATAATTAACTTGTGTTCTGAGTTTTACCGATTATTTGGTGGTGTATAATTGGAAGTTGAAGAAGATTTTATCCTAGCTACTTGGAATTGACACTTGGTACATGAACAATGTATGTAAAACTATCACATTCATAGTATGAACCAACATGCAACACGAATCACAACAAAATGCTCATATCTAATCTAATTCACAACAAAATGTATTCCTTCCTTGGTTTATAGAAGCCTTGTCTAATTCTTAAACATAATTCTAGTTTATCGCCAATATTTGGACTCGATTAAATGTCCTAGTGGCAGCAATCCACTGTTGAATGTGATATATGGTGAAATGAAACAAGAGTGAGGGAGAGAGGAAGCAAAATAAGAAAGCACATACGAGTGATTATTATCAGGCTGACTCATCGATTGGCAACTACCTCGACATCGATTGAGTGCAAGTCTAGTAACAACATTAGTAGCAAAAGAGTGATTGCCATAAATTGAGAGTGAGAAAAAGAAAAATGAGATTAGGAGAAGGAGAATGTCGAATAATCGTACCTACATACAGGAAAATGTTGTATACAATGATGATTGTTAACGGGAGTGAAATACGTTGGTATGGTATTGAATGAATAGATCGAAGATGTGATGATTAGAAAAAATGGTTAGAAATGGTAGATTCATAACAATTGATGAATCATTGTGTAAAAAATGTGACATTTTAGGATAAAATTGAAATGAAAAAGAAAGATGTCAAACATTGAATTGCTCTCATTTCTTAGGGAATCAAACAAAAACACAATTGGGACTTGAGCGAATTGAAGTGAACACATGTCACCTTTTCAATCACACCCATATCTCAAAAAAGGAGAACACTTTTTAATTATTCAATTATTATGGCCCAAATAGCAAAAAAAAAAAAAAATAATAATAATAATTTCATTGTGTGTAATATTGTTTGATTTAGGCTAATTTCTTAAGAATATGTCTTATCAAATTAATATGTCTTATCATTCCAACATGTCATAGGTAAAGAAAGAGTTTACACGATCAAAATTACAAAAGTTAATGTAATCAGAAGATTAACAAATTTATAGTTTGAGTTAAAAAAAACCATTTAACAATTGGTAACTTGACAGCACGATTCTAGGGCATGTAAGGTGAATTGTTGAATCATATCTCATATATTGTGTAACACTCAGTAAATAAAGAGTATATGAATAAACTGAGATCACATTGGAATGATAGCGATAAAGATAAGATAACTAAAAAAGACTTAAAGTAAATGAAAGTTACTACCTATACCATAAGGTGTACCTTCGTTTCCGGTGTCTCAATCATATGAACTCCAATGTTAAACATGTTTTACTTAATGTTGGACTTGTGATGATCTGTAAGGACATTCTTCATTTTTAGAAGCGAAGAATAAGTACTGTGACAATGTTGGAAGGGATGCAGAAGAATGTCGAGTCACACACGTGTCAAATTCAAACCATAATCTTTAAATAAATTGAAAGTTAATCTAATGAGAGTTTTGATTTTTAACTAATCTAACTCAACTAGTTGATATATATGTCTTCGTTCAGGTTAAAGGTTCAAATATTTTATTTCGACTTATATATTGTTGAACTAAAAGATAAGTTTCACCAATATAATAATTGAAACTTAATGTGTAATGATCGACTTTTTTTACCCACGAACCACATTATAAAAAATAAAAAAGAACTTTTAAAGATATGCATGGGTTAAAATAAACCAACACTAGAGTCATTCTATATATTCTGAAGTTAACCAGCACATAGACACTGACCACTTAGTCCGTATGTTGGGGACTAGTTCTAAAAATTTATTAACTATATGTAATGACCTAAAATAATGTTCGGGTTCTAACCCAAAACTATAATTGCAGTATTAACAACAAAACCTTTTATCACGTACTAAAGTATATTCTAGCTATAACCAAAGGGTTATAAACTTGTTCTAATTAATAGTTATCTAAAAGAGAGGTGGTGACTTACGATGACATTGATAATCAAACGTTGTTGGATGCTGCAATGATCACAGAAGAAGTATATAAATGAATCGATACTCGGGTTATTATATTTGAATAAAAATGATCGTAGTTCCCATTACAAAAATGAGGAGAAAAGGATTTAATAATGAATTTACATTTAAAGGAATGAATGTGAAATACATTAATGATATTAAAGAGGGAGAAAGAGGTAGAAAGGGAAGAAAACAAAATTAAAAGTAGGGAAGAGGAATAAATGCATGGAAACAAAACAGGTGAGAAGCAAAGCGAGCAATAAAGGAAGGAAGGGAAAAAGGCAAAATTAAAGTTTTTATTTTTATTTTTTGTTTTTATTTTTGGAGGTTCGGTCGGTCGGTCGGTCGGTCGGTCGGTCGGTTTTCTTCATTCATTTTCAACTTTTCGTTTTCAATTCCCTCAAAACTACGTACCACTTACGTCTCTTCCTCTACTTTCCTTTTCTTCTTCTTCAATTTAATTCATTGCAATAATATGATCTTTTCATTTATTTTTCAAAAAAAAAAAAAAAAAAAAAAAAAAATCTAACCACGGGTTATGTAACCGGTAAAAACGGACAATATCTACTAACCATAAACTTAGACTACTACAAATTGTATTAGAGTCAGACATTGGACGCTAAACCCCTCAAGGATTATGATATCTTACCTCGGTTGGAGAATAGAACGAAACCACACCCCTTAACAAACGCGTTTAAAATTATCAAATGATGACGATATGTAATGAGACCAAAACGGATAATATCTGCTAGAGATGAATTTGAATGATAACACATGTAGAATTAATCTCAAATAAAGTTGTTTTTAGTCATAAACTTTCAATTTCATCAAATTGCATCTCAAGCTTAAATAAATTTTTTAAGCCTTTTTTAACTACCTCATTTTTAGGATCGATCTATATGATCCTGGTTCATTCATACATCTCTTAGTGTTATAATTTTATTAAAATTATTGCATTTATAAAGATTTTTACCTTATTTTCTTAAAATGAATGGGCATTTATTTAAGTTTAGGATCGAAATTGATGAACCCTAAAAAGTTGGTACTTTTTGAATATGGGACTCAACTTAAACCTTACTTTTTCGGGATTAAATTATATTTAATTTCCCAGGGTTGATTATGTAATCTTTGAAGGCTCATTATCCCAAACCACACCCCAATTTAAATATCATCAATTGGGGCATCAGTACCCACACTTAACTTTCCCAAAAGAAACCAAAGCAAAAGAATATGCTCCAAACCCAACCATTTTTTTTTTTTAATTTTCTTTTTTTGTTTTTGATAATCTAAACTCAATCATGCTTACATTCCTTCATTTAAATATTAATTTTTCAAAAGCTTATTTCACAAAAGGACAATAATATGAGGCTTACTAATGATAATCACACTTTCTTGGGATTCTAAACCACTCCCATTCCACGAATTATTTATTGTTAATTAAGTGTATCGTATGATGGATCATTTTTTAAAAGTAGGATAACGACTCGAATTTTCATATACGTATCAATCAAAATCGTTGCTTAAAAATAAAGCTTTTGTAATTTACGGACCAAAAGTTATTTTTACAAACAAGTAAAGTGCAACGTTGTCAAACTTCGGAGGTGTTCTCCTATGAGAGTGCTTTCGAACATTTAAAAG